AGGCAGGACCTGGGGATGGAGACACGGCGCAAGCTACCAGGACAAGCCCATACCAGCTGCTAGGTCCCTCCCTCTCTGGTTGTTGTGTTGTTGTTTGTTGTTGTGTTTGTTGTTGTTGTTGTTGTTTGTGATGTTGATGTTGTGTCGTGCAGGCTAGGACCTGGGATGAGACACGCGGCAGCTACCAGGACTAAGGCCAATACAGCTGCTGTCCCTCCCTCTGCTGTTGTATGTTGTGTTGTGTGTTTGTTGTTGTTATTGTTGTGTGTTGTGATGGTTATATTGTTGATTGTTGTCGTGCAGGCAGGACCTGGGGATGAGAGCACGGCGGCAGCTACCAGGACAAGGCCATACAGCTGCGGTCCCTCCTCTCTGGTTGTTGTTGTTGTTGTGTTGTTGTTGTTGATGTTGTTTGTTGTTATTGTTGTTGTTGAATGTTGTTGTGTTGTTGTTGTTGTTGTTGTGTGTTGTTGTTGATGTTGATGTTGTTGTCGTGCAGGCAAGGACACTCTGGGGATGAGACAGCGGCGGTCAGCACGCAGGACAAGGCCCATACAGGCTGCTGGGTCCCTCCCTCCCTCTGGTTGTTGTTGTTGGTTGTTGTTGTTTGTTGTTGTGTGTTGTTGTTGTTGTATGTTGTTGTTGTGTTGTTGGTGTTGTGCGGCAGGCAGGACGCCTGGGATGAATACGGCGCGCAGCTACCAGGAGCAAGGCCGATACAGCTGCTGCGGTCCCTCCCTCTCTGTGTTTGTTGTGCGTTGTTGTTGTTGAATGTTGTTGTTTGTTGTTGTTGTTGTGTGTTGTTGATGTTGTTGCTTGTGTGTTGTTTGTTGTTGTTGCTTGTTGTTGTTGTGGTTGATGTTAGATTTGTTGTCGTGCAGGCAGGACGCTGGGTATTAGACACGGGCAGCTACCAGGACAAGGGCCATACAGCTGCTGGTCCTCCTCTCTGGTTGTTGTTGTTGTTGTTGTGTTGTATGTTGTTGATGTTGATTTGTTTGATGTTGTTGTTGATTTGTTGTTGACTGTTGTTGGTTGTTGATGTTGTGTTGTATGATGTTGATTGTTGTTGTCGTTGTTGTTGTTATTGTTCGTTGTTGTTGTTGTTGATGTTGTTGTTGTTGTTGTTGAATAGTGCTTGTTGTTGTATGTGTGTGTGTGTTATGTTGTGTTGATGTGTTTTTTGTTTGTGTTGTTGTTGCTTCTGATGTTGTTGTTGTTGTTGATTTGTGTGTATTCGTTGTGTGTTGTTGTTGTTGTTGTTGTTGATGTTGTTGTTGTTGTGTTGTTGTGTATGTTAGGTTTTTGTTTGTATGGAATGTTTGTATGTTGTTGGTCGTGCAGCAGGAACCTGGATGAGACCCGGCGCAAGCATTTACCAGGAACAAGTGCCAATACAGCTGCTGAGTCCGCTCCCTCTCTGGTTTGTTTTGTTGATTGTTGTTGTTGATGTATGTTGTTGTTGTTGTTGTTGTTGTTGTTGTGTGTTGTCGTGCCAGGCAGGACCTGGGGATGCAGACCCGGCCGGCAGCTACCAGGAACAAAGGCCATACAGCTGTCTGGTCCCTCTCTCTCTGGTTCGTTGTTGTTGTTGTGTGATTGTTAGTTGTTGATGTGTTGTTGTTTGTTGTGATGTTGATGTGTGTCGTGCAGGCAAGGACTGGTATTAGACCCGGCGGCAGCTACCACCGAAACAATGCGATAAGCCTGCTGGTCACGCCCCTCTCTGGTTTGTTGTATAAGTTGTTGTTGTTG